GATTCATATTAAACACGATAGACTCGAATTCAAATCTTCTATTATAATTCTCTTGCTCAAGTTTTGTTTAGTACAGTAGACAGATTTAAATAATGAAGTTTGCAAGTACTAACAGACATACCATTGAGACGAAGTTTGATCATTTTGACGTTGAAGTCGCATTGTTTAATGTGAGCATTCTTTTTCTCACGTTTTCCTATATCTCTGGCAATATCATAGAAATTCAAGAAAAATCTGACATCTATTGAAAACCACAAAGCATTTGCTGATCATCATTTGTTGTTCTTCTCTATCTAACAAGTTGGATAATTAAACAGTAAAAACCAAACATTAATCTCGCGCTAGCTACAAGAGACAATGCACAATTCCAGTTTAAATTTCTAGTTTTTATATCAATAAAATTCTTTTCCTTTAATTGAATAAATAATATATATCAATGCATCGGTTAATATTAGGATTTGTTTGTCTTATCATCGTCTCTTTTGTTCAGATAACTGTTCATTTACAGATGGTCAATAAGACAGCTGGCAAAGCTGTTTCGACAGCGCTAAATTCATTTGTTTATGATGACTTAGTATTTCATGTTCAAGGAATCCAGCATAAAATAGTTGAAATTACAAAATTTCTTGATGATCGATCGGAAAATGAAAAGAAGATAGAAAATGAATTGAAATCACGTTCATTAACATTTATTGATCCATATGGAAATTTGATAGTCAATAAATATATGGATCATCAATTGATCAATACAATACTTAAAAAGTACAAGAAGGATTATGTCTCAAAATATTTACAAAAGTGGATAAAAATTGGAACAATGAAAGAAAATGTTATCTCTCCGTTGAGTGATTATGAACTGAAATCAACTGTATCAAAATATGCAGATAGTTATCAATTTGTCACATGCGGGGAAGTGACTGTCTGGGTAGGAAATTATGAAAATCTACCACCTCGAGTAATTATATTACGAGTTCTGCTAATGGATAATATAGACAAAATCAAATTACAATTGAAACAGCAACAACAACAATTTATAAACATAGAACTAAAATCATTAATAATAAATGAAAATACACGACCAAATAAAGAAAGTTGGAATGAAGGTAGAACACTCAAATTGGATGATACCATTATGTCATGTCAGTTATATCAAGATAATTGCATCATCATGGCAAAATTGATCAGAGA